TACAGTAAGCAGAAGAAAGGCCCCCTGTCCCTCCAGGACTTTAGACTGATTGCTGTGCTGGGCAGGGGTCATTTTGGGAAGGTATAGTTTTACATTTGGTCTTCTTTAAAAAAGAATTTATACAGAATCCACCAAAAACAATGGAAAGAGAGCACAGGAGGGGGATTCCTGAATATAATATGATCAATACATGTTCAAATGTAGGCATTTAAACCTGCACACAAAAGCTGGCAGCTCCTTTGGTTTGCATTGTGTTGCTCAAACAGCATCAGGAGGTTTATGCTGACTGACTTCTAGAAAAAAATGAGAAAGCAAAAACGGACACAATCATTACATTCTAACCAGAAATCTGTACATACAAGAACATTTGTAAGAAGTGCTTTTGTGATTTTATGCCATTAAATGCCTGTATTTGTACACATATTGAGTAAATACTCTCACTGTTCTGCATTTAATGAGCTCTTTCTATTTTCTTTAATGGGACTTTTTAACTAATATGCAGTGTCATCACTGTAGGAGCTAAAAATATAACAGAAAATTCTTGTTTTATACATACTTCATATACTTCTGAAAAGTCTTAAACAGCTGTAATTTAAACAAGAACAGTAAGTTCAACTTTCAGGTTTAAATCATTTAATTCATACCTTACTGTAACATCCTAAAGTTGTGACTACTCTTCATTAAATGAGTAAACATGAACATCTACAAGGCCTCAGTTTCACTTCTACTTTTTGTCTGTGTTCAAGAATGAAACAAGGTCAGTTTTTCCCACACTGTATCTGTCTGTTCCCAGGTGTTGCTGTCAGAGTACAAGAAGACGGGCACGATGTACGCTATCAAAGCCCTGAAGAAAGGAGATATCGTAGCTCGGGATGAGGTGGAAAGGTTTGTGACTCTGAGGTTGCTGCTCAGTGCGTTCCTGTGTTTGTGTGATTGGTTGCTGCTTTGTAGCCTGGATCTCCAATAAAATGTACACACCATTAATCTGTGCTGCTTTGCCTTCAGTCACCATGATTACAGTTCATCTGTGGGCTGTGTGGTTGCTGCATTGACAAAAAAGATACACTGTCTAATGATGTGCAAACGTTTCTCATTTTTCTTCTCTAATCTCAATCCCTCGTTTTTCTCTTATCTTCTGCATCCTCCCATCTTTTTCTGCTTCTCACCTTCTCCTTTCTCACATTCCTACACCTCTGTCTTACTTCCCTCCATCCTTACTCTCCTCCTCTTTCTTTTGCGTCTTTGTCCTCTTCCTCCTTTCCATCTCTTCTGCCCTCCCCTCTCCAGTCTGATGTGCGAGAAGCGCATCTTTGAGACCGTGAACGTGTCACACCATCCCTTCCTGGTCAATCTGTTTGCGTGCTTCCAGACACCAGAGCATGTCTGTTTTGTTATGGAGTACACAGCAGGAGGCGACTTGATGATGCACATCCACACAGACGTCTTCACAGAGCCGCGAGCCATGTACGTAACTTGTTTATGTGTTTTAGAGAAAGACAAAATGGAAAAATTTTTGAAGTTACAGTGACAAACATGCTTATTAATCCTAATAAATATACAGTACATTGTATGTATGTTTTGTTGTTGTTGTTTTTTTTTTGAGAAATCGATGTGTAATAGTCCTTGAGAGTAGAATTGTGTTGCAAAAGTGTCTCCTTAAAGCATGTTTACATTTGTTGTTGGAAGCCAATGTTATGGCTGAGTTGAACATGCAGTAGGCTACACCATCAGTGATGATAAAGGTAATTTTGGGGCTGTTTTCACGATCTCCTCTAAGGGAAGGCTCAGCTCACCGCAGTTTGAAAACCCCTGTTATAAACCCACTGTACACTACCTGCTCAGCAACAGACACAGTTAGCAGCTAGCTGATGATCATGGTATAGCATTTAGCATCTGAAGAGCGTGATGTTTTTGCCCAGAAATTTATAGAGACCAAAAACAGATTTAAAAGAGAGTGAATGTTGGCCTTACATTCATTGGGTGGACAGAAACGCAACTCCAAATTAATGAAGACATTACTTCATCAATGCGGGATCGTAAATAAGCAAGTGTTTGTGAAACAGCTTAAAAGGTGATGATGTGTCAGTGTTGTATTCACAAGTTGTTTCTAAGTGGTCAAAAAATGTGTTGGTTATTAGAGGTTTATGAGTAAAAAGTATGAAAATCTGGATTTTGAATTTATATAAAATATCAGTTGTGTCCAGAATCATTTTCTGTGTAGATGGCCAAGCCAATGGCCTACAACTCTGGCAGTGAAGATACGTCTGTACTATAGCAGTAGTAGGGTGAGGAATGTTTGTCAGCCATTGGACAGTAGGTAATGTTGTTGTTGTTGTTGTTGTGTGACTCAGATTTTGTTCTCCAGTAGTGCAGCTGTGTAATACTGTGCCTTTGGTTTGACTTCAGGTTCTATGCAGCCTGCGTGGTTCTTGGACTTCAGTTTCTTCATGACCATAAGATTGTATACAGGTGAGTGCAAATGACACAAACCTCATAGTCAGGGTGTCAAAAAATACACGCATAGAAAACTGACCCACTCCAACCTCAAACACTGAAACACCTCCACTAAGTTCTGTGGTTTTCAAGAGATTTTATAGAATAAATCTTCTTAAATACTTGGATTGTTCCTGTGAACTCACTTCCCATTAAATATTTCTTGAGCTCTTGATTAGATTTTTTTTTTTTGCATCTCTTTTGAATTGTGTGCATATTCTCTGCTGTGTAGTGTGTAAAGAGACGGATTCTCACCTCCATCTTTTCACCTTCCATCTCTTCCAGAGACCTCAAGCTTGATAACCTGCTGCTAGACACAGATGGTTATGTGAAGATCGCTGACTTTGGGCTGTGTAAAGAAGGTAGATATGGATGTCACTGACAGATGGGCTTGTTTTTATTTCTCATGTTGCATCTTACTGCAGTTTGCCTCCTGCATGATAGTCCTCAAAACATTCAGCCACAACCAGTTTATCTCTCTGACTCTGTCTGTAGGAATGGGTTATGGGGACCGAACCAGCACATTCTGCGGGACTCCAGAGTTTTTGGCCCCAGAGGTCCTCACAGACACATCCTACACCAGAGCAGTAGACTGGTGGGGGCTGGGGGTCCTCATCTATGAAATGTTGGTGGGAGAGGTGAGAACTAATACATGTCGGCATACACAAAGCTCCTGCAGCGTCCGTGGGGTGATGGCTGCCTGAGTGTTCGTGTGAACACACATCGGACTTGTTAGGTTGATATCACATTCATCTGATGTGACACTGTGCTTTCGCAGGAGAGCTTGTAGCTGACACAGTGTGTGTACTGGAGATGTGAAGGAAGAATTTGATCACGTCCAGACTGTGAAATCTTCTGGAACTACCCTTAACAGTGTTTGCTGTGAACACTTCCAATTACAAACTAGTGTACATCTAACCAAAACAGCTAGAAGGTTCCGGGTTTGAGCCCCAGCTAAATGAGAGTATATGTATAACATCATGAAGATTTCACCTGATTGGTTATGAACATAACATTTTCGTGGAGTCAAAGTCTGAATTTCTTCACTTTTAGATGCTTTATTTATTTTCTTACATACCTGCACAAAGAGGACTGGATGTATATCTGTATGTCACATGACACGTTCACTGTGGTTGACTTGTGCATTTCTTGTGCATGTGTCTAGTCTCCGTTCCCGGGGGATGATGAGGAGGAGGTGTTTGACAGCATTGTGAATGATGAAGTCCGCTACCCACGCTTCCTCTCAACAGAGGCCATTGGCATCATGAGGAGGGTACGGATACACATACACACACACACACACACACACACACACACACACACACTCTCTCACTCTCTCACTCTCTCTCTCTCTCTCTCTCTGTCTCTCACTCACTCACTCACACTCTCTCTCTCTCTCTCTCTCTCTCTCTCTCTCTCTCTCTCTCTCTCCTCACCCTCTTGCTGACTTTCATCACCCATAAACAATAAAGTAAATGAAACACTTTTTCACCAATAAATAAAAACACTCAGTCACAGAGGCCATGTTTACTACACTGTCCACTTACAATTTCTTATTTGTGTGTCTTTGTATTTTTACGAGCAGCTGTTAAGGAGGAACCCAGAGCGAAGACTGGGCTCGGGTGAAAAGGATGCAGACGAGGTGAAGAAGCAACCATTTTTCAAAGTAAGTACACTTATGTGCAGTGTTTTGACATCTGTGAGGAAGAGCAGCTGTGTGCCGGCACAAGGTTAAAGAAACTGTTGATGTTGTCTTGAGAGTTCACCTTATGAAGCATTTCTCATCTTTTTTTTTCCCCCTCCATCTCTCTCCAGAATATGGATTGGGAGGCGTTGCTGCAAAGGAAGGTGCCCCCTCCCTTCATCCCCTCCATTGGCAACAAAGAAGACGTCAGTAACTTTGATGAGGAGTTCACCACCGAACCTCCGACGCTCACGCCTCCACGTGAGCCTCGCATGCTCTCCCGCAAAGAGCAGGACAGCTTCCGGGATTTTGACTATGTCTCTGACCTCTGCTAGTGGGCTGCGGGCTCGCAGACCTCGAACAATGTTTGATTTTTGAAGTCGTCATGACAGTTTTTGTCAGAGTGGACCAAAGGCCCCTACCGACTGTCCACTGACTGTTTGTCTGCCGATAACTACACTGTGAATGTGTGGAGAGACCACAGGAAGTCGGTCTGTGTTTTGTGTTTGTATGTTGGTGTGTGTGTAGGGTTTTAAAGCTCGATGTCAGGAAAATAAGCTGGGACAAACAGCTGTTTTACCATGAATGAAGGATAAATGAAGCCCCCCACTCCTGTCATTGTATGACACACCAGTGACTTGTGGATCTTGCAGACATTAGCCTTTGAAATGCCTCCTCCCGTCCTCTTTTGTATCATTGTAGTCACGTGCGCAGCTGCAAGAGGACGAGCTCTTTGTACTGTTGACTGTTTAGGAGGATGTTCAGTGGCCTCTCATACCAATGCCTTACATTTGTACTAGTATTTGATCCACAGAAAATGTTTTTATTTTGTGACACTTTTGTATTCAGCAGCAGGAAGAGTGACACGGCAGACTGCAGAAATACTCTCAACTGTGTTTTTATAAAAGAGGACTTGCTTGTCAGAGTGGAATCAGCGATGTTCAGAATGAAAGCTTTTCCAGCAGTCGTATGTTGATGACTGATGCTAGAAAAAATTATGAGTTAAATATGGGGTAAAGAACCACTGTTTTACTTAGCTGCGATGGCTTTTCATGGGATGTCCACCGACTCCTTATTAACATTTGTGCTGCTTAGATTTCAATTTATGTGACAGATGTTACAGCAGCAATTTGTAAAGAGTCCTGAACATTTTACTCAATACTCGCATAAGTTGTTGTTTTTTTAATTGGATATTTAGGTATTATATGTAATTTTTTTTAACATTTGTAGCAGATGCACACATACATGAGCGTTAGTATACAAGCTACTGTACAGTATGTGGCAGGCAGGTTTGTACATTTTAAATTGAAAAGAAATCCGAACACTAAGACTGTGTATAAGTCACAGACCACTGTGGGCTCATTCATCCACTTTTAAACACGTGCTATCAGAGTTTTGTGACTATGAAACAAGTATTTTCCCTCCAGGACTAAAATATCTGACCCTAAACTCTTTGAGCACTGGCTCTAACAATTATTTCAGTGACTGTTTTTAAGAACTTCATCTACTCACAGGTTAAAATCTACCCTCGGTCATTGTTTGCATCAAACTGACAGAAATCTTTTTTTGAAAGATCTGGGTGGTATCAGAAGCAAAGCCAACCTCTCTAGTCACTTTTCCACAATAGAAGCAGTTGCTGTATCTTTATGTTCATTTCTTAATGAACAATATCAGTTTAGGGAAGCAGATGTGTTAAAAACATAGATAAATGTTAAAAGGAGCCAGTGGTATAACCTTCTGTAACACTACCATTTCTGCATACAAAGATTGAGAAGCTGGATGTTTGATGGTGTGGATTTTACTTGTGTATGACAATACAAAACCATGTGAGCGTATAAGTGGACTTATTTTATAAAGAAAACCTGGAGTGAATATTATGTCTGTTCATTGTTGTCATGGGCATGAGAGAAATTATTTAGAGGTAAGAGGAGGGAAAGTGATATAAAATAGAAATAATACTTAAAATGCATTTCAGTGAAAGAATTCCGAGATCAGAATCGGCTTCATTGGCCAGATGTGGTGAACACACGAGGAATTTGACTCCGGTACAGTGGCTCTGAATGTGCATGTGTAGTGTTCTTCTGTAATAAAGAACAGCGTACAAACAGGATGAATTTGTAACTGAAGACCACCGATTTTTATTTACATATTGTGACATGTCAAAATGTCCTTTTTGAAAATATAAAGTAATATCTATGAAACTGTCACTATATAATAAAACGGAAAAGCAGAAAATCCTGACATATGAGAACCTGGCACCAAAGAACAGTTTTTTTTGTCACAAATGATTTAACTGAATTGTTAAGCAAAAGGTTTGTCAATTAATTTCTTGTTGATTGACTAATTGATTAATCAACTTGTGAAAATGTTTTGTTCTTGATTGTTTTACTATATACACCACTTAGGCTCTTTGACCCAGTAACTCTAATTGATTTTTTTTTTTTTTAAAAGCCCCTCACAGTTTCCCAGAACTCAAAGTGACATTTTAGGTCACTTGTTTTGTCCAACCGCAGTCCAAAATACAGAGTATTCTTTTAAGTTTTAAAAAAGCATTTAGTCGGCCCCTTTCAATGTGGATAGTAAGTCCAAACGATGCTCAAAAAAAGCTTTAGTGTTGACAGTTTCTCGGTAGTTGAGCAGTCAGTCTTTGCACCACTTTCTGATAGGGCACCCTGTATGAAAGGGTTATAAACTGCAACTAATGGCTCTGTTAATGCTTTATAGATCACTTGTAAACCATTAATACAAACATCTTTTGGGTTGCCAGGTTGCAGAAAATCCTCCTCCTCTATACATACTTGTCACTGTGCAAATAAGCATTAAATAAAATAGACTAAATGATTGTCTGTTTGATATGTCTGATAAAGCCAGAGTAAATGATTTATTAACCATGAATAAATCCATTAATTACAACCTACATATCCTTTATAAATTCTACCCACAGGGTCCTCATCAGAAAGTGGTACCCAACTTCTGTTGAGGACCCTGTGATAATGAAGTTCCAGGACAAGACAATGAGCAAGGAGACCCTGTGTTGAGATTGTTAGTCAACTGCACTTTCAAGATCAAGAGTAATTTCTCAGCATTTCTGGACTCTTCTGAAGACAGGTGCCCCGTTGGCTCCTTTATAGCTCCACCTGTATAAATGAGTAAATGTGAATTAGTGATTGTGCAGGTATGACTGTGTAATATGGATGTGATAAAGGTACATGTGGACAAAAGTGGATGATCACATTACTGCAGTGTGTGTGTGTCCAGTCAGTCAGTCAGTCAGTCAGTGAGTGAGTGAGTGCACTGCTGGTCCTGCCTGCCTGCCAGAGAGGGGAGTCGAGAGCTCTGCTGGGAACTACATGGTGCTCAATTTTTCAAGATGTCGTCGCTGGAACAGAGGCTGTCGCGAATCGAGGAGAAACTAAAGCAGGAGAATGAAGAAGCTCGACGGAGAATAGACCTCAACATCGACATGAGTCCGCAGCGATCACGTCCGAGGCCGAGTGAGTGTTCACCGGGGAGAACCGGGGAGTCGGCAACGGCCAGAACAGCAGGGGGAAAGATCGAAGAGGCGGAGGGAGGGAGGGAAGGAGCGGGGGTGTTATCCTGCTACATGCTAACAGGCTAGCTACATAAACAAACACCGACTCGGCTTTGGTCGGTTTGTTTTAGTGACAGATCGCTTCCTTAACAACTGCGACAGTTTTTACACTGAGTAAAACCAAATTTTTAAAAACTGAAGTGCTGTCATGAAATATCTCGCTGGTGGTCCCCTCTCGAAATCTGTGTTGATTCTGTCCTGTCAAACATGCTAGGCTAAGAAGCTAGCAGTCTCAGTGATACTCGGTGGCAGGCCCAGCCTTAGTCTGACAATTTGTTACAGTTTTCAGTATGCTTATGAAATATTATAGACGTGTCGTTTGTCTTCGGCTTCTGTGTAGTTATATACTACTTGAGAAGCAGTGTATTTGCTTCTGACTCTTGCGGCAGAGTGAGTTTTCACTGCCATTTTGACCCTTGACGAAACAGACGCTAATTTCTGCAAAGCTATCGGGTACAGCTAACGTTCGCCATACGTTAACAGCCTTTGGCGTTATGCTGTAAACACAGTTTCCACATGACTTATAATGGTAACATGCCAGTCTGCTGCAGAGCCACTGAATAAAACCCTTCAGAGTTTTCAGGTACTATCAAGTTGTGAGAAGTGGTGAAGCAGTAACAAAAAAAATTAAAGAAAGCAGCCCGGCTAGTTCAGCGGGAAAGTATGTAAGCTCCTGCCAGACATAATACCCCGAGACCAATACTGTCACGGGGGCCGACAGCTCTATTATCTTAGCAGTGTCACATAGTGAACTCTTAAAACCCCTAGCATCAATTCACCCACTGACTGTACAAAGATGTGTTTCTCACAGATCGTCACATTTTTCATTCATGTGACATTTGAGACTACAAACCTTTTCTGTTCTGTTGTGAAGTAAAATTAGCTGTCTGCGTGTGAATGGGGTAAAGGAAAAGTAGGTGGACTCTTTTGTTTCTTATTGTCAACAAATTTCACCAAAAACCCCCCAGAAAGAACAATAAATAGATCCATAGTGTTTTACTGCAGCAAAACCAAGCAATGCTCACAGAACTGTTGTGCACTCATTTAGGTTATACAAAAGGTGAAGCAAGGGGTTATGGTTCATTCACGTTCAAGTAATGTGTTACATGTAAACCTGAGAACCTCATGGAGAAGATGCACATTAACACTCTATAAACGCTGACCATCAGAGTGTATTAGTGTGTCTGTGCCACAGACAGGGTTGGAAAGTTGTAACATACATTTTTGACAATAAGAACCATTTAGAACAACACCAGCTTTCTCCTATAGCACACACCGCTCAGATTTGTGTCTTTTGTTTATGTGTGAATAGAACAAGTGAGTTATTTTTTGTCATGAAATGCAGTGTATGCGTGCGTGTGCATGTGATCATCTCAGTACAGTGTTGTAATGTGCGTGCATGTGTATATTTTCTTTCCTCTGTTTAGTCATCGTGATCCAGCTCAGTCCTGCTCCAGCCCCTTCCCAGCGTGCAGGTATCATTCAATCCATCACGCCCTTGCCCCCCCCCCCAATCTGTGTCCCCCATGTCACCTCAAATCTCTTCCCCCTTCATCCTCCTTTATCCTCCACCTGATACATTTTTTTTCAAGTTCACACGACTCATAAACCCATCAGGGAGCATTATTGACTTTGAAAAACAGAGGCAGTTCCCTTCTTTTTCACCAGTCTTTTTTTTTTTTTTTTTTGAAAATAAACATTATATGTAGCTTTCGTAATGTTTATGAAAGGACATTTAACTTTCTCTAATGAAACCAGGTGCATATTGAATTTCGGTCCAACTAATCAGATGATCTTTTAGTAACATGTACGAAACAGTAACTTGTATTCATACCAGTTGACCAAGTGTAGTTTAGTTTCATACACACTGTGGAATAGGCACAACGTTTAAGTCTGTTGACTCATGTTTTCATTAATTTCAAACATCCTCCCTGCACGCACGCACACACACACACACACCTTCTTTCAATGTCTCACTGTATCTCACTGAGGGCTAAAAGTTTAATATGTGTTTTTGAAACCAGTCCCTGACCAAGACTGAGGTTTTAGCCTAGCAGTCATTTACATCTCCCCTGAAATCACATCTTTCCATCTTTCCATCCCTTCTCCTCTATCTCTGTGTGTGTGTGTGTGTGTGTCTGTACCAGTGGCAGAGCAGAGTTGGTGTGTGTGTGTTGATGCTCACAGTGTGTGTATACGTGTGTCAGGTGATTAACCTTCATTTAGCTGGAGGCAGAGAATCACGGTGCATGTGGCTTTTCTGCACGGCACGATGTTTTGGGTTGTGTTTTGTTTGACACAGTCTCTAATCCAGCATCCCCACTGGTCTGTCTGCAGGAGTGCTGTGAACACACTGGCTCTCTCTCTCTCTGTCTCTCTCTCTCTCTCTCTCTCTCTCTGTGTGTGTGCCACCGACTGAAGACTTTCCTTCCTGTCTGAGTTGATCTGACCGACTGTCTGACTTCCAGCTTAGTCTGTGCTATGCAGTTTTGGCCGAGTTTCTCTCACTGTCTGTCTCTCGCATTGGACTGTTTAATGTTGTTTGTTATTTATCTTCTGGTATCCCCCTTCATCCTTCCTTGAGCAGCAGCACTGTGTGAGCAGGAAGCAGTGCAGCAGTGCCTGCAAGTATCTTTGTGTGTCTCCCTCTCTCCTCGGTCTGTCTGCCCATCCATCCTCCCACCCGTCCATCTGGAGCCAGCCGAACTATGGAGCTGTGATTTGTGCCAAAGACTGCCTGAGTCTTCCTTCCATTCCACACTAACCCCTCCTCCCCTTTACTGACTGACTCTCCCCTTTACAGGCTGAACCATCCACAGGTGACTTATGGATACAAACGCCCGCTGGCACTTTCAGAGTAGTTGCCAGCCTGCTACTACAAAAACAGTAATAGTTATGATCATGACAACAGTTGTGTTATCCTCTTGCTAGTACGACAGGGACTTTAAACTTGTAATCAGGGATCTGAAGTCTTAATTCATGTTCATAGTCATTTATAGTCTGTTGTTATACCCGCTGACTTCCTGTCTGAGCATCTGGTTGCACAACAGGTCTGTGCTAATACTACTTTAGATTATTATCTTGAAATTCTTTCGCATCTCTGTTTGAAAATATGTCCATGCACATACACCTGATATTACAAGGCCAGCAGAGTTTTAATATGCCCTTTAAAGCATGATTTACACCTGTGTTTATATGAGGTTAGAAGTTTCAGTGTCAGTCAGTTGTGAATTGGGCTTGCAACTGTCAATTTGGTATCCAGAGTTATGAAGTCATTTATATTTATCAGTAAGTAATATCAGATTTAGTGGCAAAGTGCTGTTTATTAATACTTGAGTTTTATTTTCATTGTTCTACCCAACAGTATTGGTTATGATAACACTGTACTCACCAGTAATTGCTGAAATCTGGGGGAAATGGTGACATTGCTAAAACAATCATACAACCTGTATGATTGACTGACTGCTCGGGCTTGTCTCACTGTTGGTCATATGTTGATTAATGTTGCTGCATCCTCAACTCTAACCAGCCTCTTCAGCGAGCACAGTGCTGTCGCAGCTATTACAACCAGTGCTCTGGATCTGTGAAAAACCTGTAGCTTTTCTTTAAAACAGCCTGTGGATATCCACATCCTTTAACTGTACCTCCCAAGCTGTGGGCTGAGCCTGTGCTGTCTCTCTGTGCCTGAGAATGGTGTTGCTTTTTCTCTCAGATAACCATCCTGTTTGTTTTAACAACATTTTCAGTTGGTACTGCACAAGGTAGAATAGATTGCAGACGCTAGTGTAAAACAATCTGAAGTCCAGATTTGGGGATTTTTTAAGAAGACTGATAATTGTTCATCAAAGCTAATAAATACCAAATTTATTGGTGCATAAGAGCTTGAAATCACTAAAAGAACTGAGTCAGTGAATGCATGAACACAATCTTACACCCTCCGGCCACTGTTGTAAAGTACATCATTCTGTCCCCCAGCCTCCTGTCTGTGTCTGATGTGTCATGTTTCCCCCCCTCCCCTGCCCCAGCGCTCCAGCTGCCACTGGCCAACGATGGAGGCAGCCGTTCTTCATCTTCAGAAAGCTCGCCTCAGCACCACCCCTATTCCAGCCGCCCGCGACACATGCTCACCCTGCCCACACCCCCGTACGGCCTACAGAAGAGCCTAGAGAAGTATGTGAAAACTTAGTCAAAAACAGAAACTGTTTTCACTCATCTATGTGCAATCAGGATTTTAGTGTCAGTATGTAATGCTTCTTTGTTGTGCTCTATGAAGCACGACTCAGATGGTGGTCCAAGATGGTTGTTTAAAAAAAAAAAAAAAAATTTCATACATTTTTCTTCTAAAAGTTATAAACTTTCATGGGGTGGTTTGTTAAGTGAGTAAGTACTATTAGCGTTCACATATAATACAAGTTAGGCAATTCTAACTTTGTGGTTTGAAAATGAACGTGTGGACACATGTCGTGCACTGATACCGACTCAGGGTGCAGCATGTTTTTTCAGTTCAAACAAGGAGTACGGATGTAAAAGATGGAGACTCAGCGATTTTATTTACACTCTCAAGATGGTCACATGAGCACACACACACATTTGCCATGCTGTTCTAGTGTGTGTCTGTTTCTGTATTGCCAAACATGCATGATAGTGAGTGAGCAGCATGAAGGATCATTTACAGCAGAGCTGGTTATGTTACACATAACAGATCCACATGTAGAAAGTGTGGGTGAAGGACGTACAAAAATACCCACACTAGATTCCATTTGTGAGTCAGAAGTCTCGCTGTGCTTCTCATCATGCAGTCGACGTTTCACACTGAAACAAACTTCATGCTCCCTGACATTGTGCATTATTGTGTGTTTGTCCCCATAGTGCAGAGATTGACCAGAAACTGCAGGAGATCATGAAGCAGACGGGTTATCTTAAGATCGACGGTCAGGTGAGACACAGAGATGCACGTCGAGTTTTTCTAGTCAGGCATCGTTAATCCCCTTCCCCTACCTGTTGTAAATGCAGATATAAAACCAGGCTGAGCGGTCATAAACCTAGTCATGTTCTTTATTTGTGTTTTTCTCAACACATCCTATTAAAAGACTGAAATCAGCAATGAATTAGCCCTACTAACAAGTGCTGTCTGTGCATCAGACCAGGATCTAGCTGCGTCCTCTCAGGGTGGTTAAGAAGGAGAGTGACGACATCTCTATTGGCTCTATAAGTACCGTTTTTAACAGTAATGGTGGATCATGGGATTGTCAAATAGTTCCAAGCATTAGGAGTAACACCAAAGAGTTTGGCTGCTATTTTCCATAATAAGAAATTGAAGTCAATAGCAGAAAAATAAGTAAGATCAGTAAAATAAGTAGCAGTTAAATTTGTGACTTTTAAAGTTAGCGACGTGTCGAAACATGTGCAACCTTTTTGACCATCTCTCTCAAATATTGGGTCACTTTAATAATTAGGTAACTAGCTAAATTAGCTGAACTGTCTACAGCAACAGAACAGAATTAGTTAGCTAGCCTGTACAAATTGTTAAAAGTAGCAAATCTGTGCCGTTTGTGCCTACGGGCCGAATGGCAGTGGAGAGTAACCGGCCTTCTTGCAGTCCCTGGG